GAAGGGAGGTGTTTGTGCTGCTCCCTTCCTCCTGAAAATGTGGGATTTCTGAAAGGGGTGTTTGAGCCTTCAGTCAGAGGAGGGAGGCTGGAGAGCTGTGGAGTGAAAATACCCTCTAATCTGTGGGCCCTGGCAGGAATGTTTGGAAAGGGGGGTGTCACTGTGCTGGGAAGGCTGCTGGAGGGCACTTGGGCTAAATAAAGGGCACAGCATCTCGGGGCACAGGGCTGTTCTCATCCTCCATCATCAGCAAAACCTTTTCCTCAGCCAGCCTGGAAAGAGGACTGTGACTGCTGGTGTGCAGCACCTGACCCCTGCCAAGGGGGGACAGGGGGGTCCCGGGCAAGAGACACCTCTCCCAGTGCCAATGGCTGTGCCCTGCAAGCTTCTTGCTGCTTTTGGATGACAGAAATGTGAGGTTTCACTGAGTGACACCCAGGCATCCCCCGTGGCAGAGATGCTGCTACGGCACCGATCGATCGCTTTACTCAAGTTGGTTGTTGAGGCATCTGCAGTACCCTGGTGAGCTCTGCTTTCTCCTTTTTGTTTCTAAACAGTGTTTAGTGCTTTCAAGGATGGCCATGAGATGTGAAAAGTGTCTCTGGTAGCATCTGCTCTCAGTGTATATTTAACCTCAGCAGTGAACACATGTCTGGTGTGGAGATGCAGTGGGGAGGCTGTGGCTGTGCCGCCGTTCTCGGGTGTTATTTTATCTGAGAAAGGGAATGTTGACTGTGGTGGATCATTGACACTGCCTTTGTTAATATCTTAGTTTCTATTTCTGGGCTTTTAATGAAAGCGTGGTAATTTCATGCTGCAAGGAAGGGCAGCAATCAACTGCATCAACTGTTTTAAAGCCATCTTTGGTTTGAAGTACAGTAATCTTTTGATGCGGTGGATAAGGCAACTCCTGTCTACATAGCTGGGGTTTGTTGCTTTTGTTTGAGGATTTTTGAATTTGTCTTTAAATGAGTTACCTCTGCACCTCTCAGTGACTGAGAGAAAGGCCAGGAAAACCTCATTTTGTGTATATTAAAACTTAAGACTCATGTTGGATGAAAACCTGGTGGGTGAAAGTGATCCTTTCTTTATCCTGTCACCTCAAATACTCCTTGCCTATGAATTTCAATCATCTCAATTTAGCCTTGTGTGTTTTAACTGTTTAGTAGTGAAACTTCTCCAGAGTGTGGAGAGGAAACAACATCCTCATAGCCAAGGGAGATCTGTAACAGCTCTTTGCTGCTTTAATTATTGCAGCTCTGCAAACGTGCCTGGCCACAGTGGTGAAAGAGCTGCTGGGACTGGAGGAAACGTGGCTTGTGGATGTTTCCAGCCTGGCAGAGCCGGCCATGGCTGTTGTGCTGTGCTGAGGCCTGGACTCGCCTGGTGCTGGGGCAGGACAAACTTCATCCCCAGGCTCTCCCAAACCTCCCTAGGGATTTGGATGGCTTGTTCCTCCCTGCAGTGGAGTCTGCTCCCTGCCCTCCCAGCTCACTGTCACACATTGCACTCCACTCATCCTCACTGTAGTTTCTACTCTTAAAGAGAACTCTCTCTTTAGGAGGACGCTCTCTGGTGCTCTCCTCTTTTGGAAAGCTGTTTTTCCTTTGGCCAAGAGCACGCGGGTGGTGCCACGGGGCCATGTCAGAGTTTCCTCTTCTTTCTGGCCTCTTCCTCGAGGTTGCTGGCTGCCCTCCCCCTGCTCGGGGGGAGGTTCTCCAGCCTGACACCCGGCTCCAGCAGCCTCCTGCTCCTGCCTCCAATAAATGCCAGTCTTCCTTGAATCCCTTCCAGCCGAGCTCTGCTTACAGATGTTCCTGCGAGCTGCTCTGGCAGTTTTACTGGGAGCCTGAGCAGATATGAAGGTTGCCAAGAGTTTATGCTTAATTGTGAAGTGGAACAGAGACAAACTACTTTTATTTTGAAGCTAAAATTTCTTCTGTTATCTTGCTGGCTGGGGCCAGCAGTATTGTAGGGTTTGACATAGAGTGAGCTTAGAGCTCCTGTGCCTTGTAGTGAACTATCCCTTCATTAGGGTGGGGATGAGGATGGATCCATGAGGATGTCCCTTCATTCTGTTCCCCCCCTGCTTTTCCATGACTGTGTTTGTGATACCCTTTCAAAGTCAGTTGTACCAGGTCAGGTTATTAATCCCCAAAGTGAAAATGATCTCCCCTTCAGATCAGCAGTTCAGATCTCGAAGAGACGCTGTCTTGGGCACTGCTCCCTGCATCAGTTTAACCCATGTGCCTTCATCCCAGCTCTCAGAGGTTGGGCACTTCGTTAAGCACTACAAAATCAGCCCAGGGACATCCCCAAGCCACTCACATCCCTCCCTGTCCTTCCTGCCTCTCCTTTTCCCACGGGCAAGTGCTACTCTTGAAGGCCACGAGACAGCACTCTGGTTTAAAAAGCTTTCTCTTTTTTTCAGGCGAGTGATCAGTTTTGAGGCCTGGCGCCCTGTCAGAAAGTTGACAGATGATCTGCATTACCGGTGCGTCCCGGGGATGCCCGGGATAATCGCGCTCCAATGGACGCCCTGGAGCCGGCAGGTTCTCTGTGAAATGGCTGCAGTGGAGGGAGCAGTGAAATGGGCTCTTCTGGGCATGCTCACTCTGTAGAGGGAGCTTTATCACATGAGCAGAAACTGAATCACTGCTCATGAGGATCTGGAATATGCAACTCTTGGAGTCTTCACCAGAAGAAGACAACAGCTGCCCGCAGGTACCGCAGGGTCCGTCCACCTCCCGTGCCTGGCGAGGCCCTGGCAGGGCAGGGCTGCGTCCTGCCCGGGAAGGAGAAGCCTTGGAGAGGAGAGGAGGAGCAGAGGCCGGGGAAGCATGGCCGGGGCTGTTTGTTCATTGGTTTGGATATTCCTGCGCGCGGCTGCCCGGTGCGGGGTGGGCATGGCCCATCCTGCAGGCATGGCCCATCTGCGGGCATGGCCCATCCTGCAGGCATGGCCCATCCTGCTGGCATGGCCCATCCTGCTGGCATGGCCCATCCTGCTGGCATGGCCCATCCTGCTGGGATGGCTCTTCCATGGGCTCCGAGGGGCCTCGGCGCCCGGCAGCGCCGCCAGCAAACCTCGGGCTTTGTTTCCTCGTGCCTTTCGTTTGTCTCCTGGGGTGGGGAAGCTCGCTTGGGGTTGGTTTGGTTTTGGGGTTTTTTTTTTTGTTTTTTTTTTTTGGTGTTTTTAGGATTTGTTTGTGCTTTTAAAGTGTGAAGTTTCTGGAAAATTCTCCAAGGAGCTGCTTGTAGCTGTTAGAAGAAAAAGGCACAAAGCCTGGGGTGCCCGAGCTGCTTGAAGACTGAATGTCTAAAGGGGAGGAGAGGGCCTGTGGCCACATGGCACCTCCTCACTGGGTCTCTTTTGACAGCCTCTGCCTATGGCTCGCTGGGGTGGAGGCCAGAGCCAACAGCATTTTACCAGGAAGAAGCAATCCTTTTTATTTTGGGGTCACTTCCTCCCTTCTCTCTTCTTTTTTTTAAATTTTTTTTTCATAGTAGCAATCCAAGGAAACATCTGATGCAAAGGAAACATCCGTGGTTGACTTCATGGCAGGAACATGCCTGCAACATATTTTAAAACTCAGCCCCCCGGTTCTGCCCTTGGGATTTTTTTTTTTCCTCTGTGATTTGTGTTACATGCAAGAACTGTTGGCTGCCACAGACCTTGGTGAGATTTGGGATGGACACAGAAGGTCCCAGGCCCCTGGAAGGCACGGACAGCCCTGCAGAACACTGGCCTGAGCTTGCTGTGCTCCAGGGAGACCCTCGAATCTGCAATGTTGACACAATATTGAACTTTCAATCAAGGAGCAAGATGTGAAGATGGCATTTAAAAGATCAGGGAGCTTACATGGGACAATCTGTGATACCTAATCTAAATATCTGTTGTTTCTCCACTGGACGATAAATGTGCTCATTGTTCATCATTCAGAAGAAAAGGAAAAGGCATCAGAAGTCAGGAGGAGAGAGCTGAGATTTCTCTTTAACAGTGAAGAGCTGAGGCCTTGACCTGCTGCCTGAGCAGCTTCACTCAGGGAGAAAATGAGCTTTGGGCTTGATGAAGGCTGAGGAGACAACCAAAAACCCTCTGAGGTGTGGGAGGTGTGCTCCTGTGTGGTGGTGACACCGGCGTGGCTCCGGCTGGAAGTGCCCAACGCTCTGTCCCTGCCGGCTGGGGCCCTTGGGAAGCGTCTGCAGAGACGCAGAAAAGCCTGACCTACTTTGGAGGGAAGAGAGCCGCCGAGGTCTGGGCTTGGCACTGCTTCTCAGCAAGGGTTAAGAGCCCAAAGTGGGGCCTTTGGGTCTTGGTTTTGTTCTGTTTCATGTATTTAACTGCCTGTGCGGTGCCAGCACGAGCTCTTGCCCTCGTCCCAGGACATGTTTGGGTAGGACTAGGCTCTGTGGCACATATGAGGCATATTCCTGCAGCTCAGCCTCTGTGAGACCAGCCCTGGGCAGGGGGCAGAGGCAGCTCCATGACCTGGCTCCTGGGAGCTCTCCCATGTGATGCCATCTCCTGAGGAAAGAGAGTTGTGTGCACCTCATGCAATGGCAGTGAGTTGTTTTATTCAGGTAAACAAGGAGTTTTAAGGAGCTTTGCTCTCCTGGCCAGCTGGTTTGGGGGAGGGCTGACTTGGTTCCTGCTGCTCCTCTTTGTTTTCCTTTTGCTGCTTTTCCCTGAAGTTTTTCCTTCTCGCCTTCCTGCTCCTGAAGCTGAGAGTGGTCGAGGAATGGCCGCAGCGGGAGAGTGACCGTGTGTTGGGGTCAGCCCAAAAGCTCAGGGCACTGATGGCGTGTGCTCCCTGCTTGCAAGCCTTGGAGGACCATATGTTCCTGCAGTGACATGGAATGTCAGTGATTTGGAAACAAATCCCTGAATTAATAATCCTCAACTCCCATTTTAAGCCAGTTATTTTTTCTGACTCCTCCAAACACCAGCTCCCTCTTTGCAGACCCTTATGGCCTCTCATGTTTCCAGTGGGATTTGTCCCTCTTGTGCCCCTGTGAGCTCCTTGGTCTCTTGGGTGGAGGATATGTGTCTGGCTTTGCTGTAGGGTGGTGTTGGTCCTGGAGGGGGGCAGAGGAGGAGGGCAGCCTGCCAGGATTTACAGTAGTCAGGAAAGCAGCAGGAGCGAAGCTCTCAAACTGTACAAGCTAATTGGAAAGCATCCATTAGAAAAAAGAAAAGGGAAATATAAAAGGGGAGAAAATGTTGAGCAAGCTTTTAAAAAACATCCTGGACTCCAACACAACAACTTGCATCCTCCAAAACAGGTGATTTAAATATGTTTTTCCTTCAGTCCCCATCAGGAGGGGGAAGGAGGTGAGAAGGGCCGAGGCAGTGGGGGTTAAGAAGGTCTGACGTGCAAGTGTCCTCCCTGCAACACTGCCATACTGTGCCTGAGCAGCACAGTGGCTCTTGCAAAGGAAGCTTTTCACAACTTGTCCTTGTTCCAAGGATGAGGAAACCTCCAGCTCTTCTGGCATTTTCTCTCTGTCATAAGTCAGAGCTGCTTTCACCTGTGAAGTATGATCAGCACAGACAGGGAGAGGGCTGGAATGGAGCGGGGCTCTGAGCAACCTTAAAAGGCTTTTCATGGAGTTCTTGGTGTTAAATGAAGAACATTTCCCCTCCTCCTCTCCTCGTTTTCCTGTGTGCCTGCAAAAATACTCTGGTTTGCATTTAAAGGAGAAAACTGTATGTGCTGGGACTAAGCCAACTTGTTTATTTAAGGGAAATACCGTATTTCCAACCCCTTCTCTCACAGAGGAAGGCTCAGCAGAGGATGGCAGACTGGGCTGGGGATTGTATTTTTAGGTGTCATCGAAGCACAGTTGTGATTCGAAGAAGCTAAAAATCATGGCTGGCATTTTACATCGAGCCCTGTGAGTTCCTCCTCCCCACAGCCCCCACAGGGGTTAACCTCACCCTCCAAAGCAGGTGGATTTTCACCTAAATCAAAGAGCAAAAAAGGAGAAAAAAAGAAACAAAAACCATCAGAAAGAACAACAAACCCATCCCCATCACCCCCCAGGCTTCTGCATTTCCATGCTTTCGCCTTTGCCTGCCCCAGGGGGGTGTTGGTGGCGGGGCTGGGGCAGGGACACGGGCCCTGTGTCCCTGTCAAAAGATGGCAGGTCCTGTGTCCGTAAACAATGCGGTTATGAAATGGCAGCGCGGCCGCGCTGAGCATGCTCGGGAGCTGCCTGTAGGGGGAGGCGAGCCAGAAAGATGATCTAATTCCGTGCAATTCTTGGGATTGAAGGAAAAGACCAGGCTCCACTCTTAATGACAGAGCAGAAAAACCAGGCCCCACGCCGGGGACGAAGCCCGTAGGCCATGGAGGAGAGGGTGTGAGGATCTCCCACCTCCAGGACTTCGGGTGCTGGGCAGCGCTGTGTCGCTTTCTCGCCCTCCAGCAGAGTAAGGCCTTGGTGAGGTTTTGCTGTAGATATTAGAGGGACAGGCCCGAGGGTGCAAGTTTTATGATTATGATTATTTTCATTATTATTTTGTATTTTTTTCTCCCCCCTTCTCCCCATCCGCTTTCCCGGCTCACAGGCACCGCTGTCTCGCTGCTTGGCCGCTCGATGGCCGGAGGTGACCCAGGTGGAGGTGGTGTGGGCAGCTCAGCCAGGTCCTCGTGGTCCCACGGGAACTCACGAGGGGCTTTCCCTCCTCTGCTGCCCCATGTGCCCTTTGGCTGGGCACCATGGGGATGGGCAGGGGTACAGGGACTTGTTCTGCTGGCTGCGGTGCTTTGGGGTGGGAGGAAGAGGAGCACAGAGGCTGAAGAGGTACCTGAGCCCCTTTGATGGGGGTGAGCTGCCTCCCAGCTCCCCTGCCCTGGACTGCTGGAATCTGCTTGCTCCAGGCTCCTCTTGGTGCTCTGGTTTTGTCCTGGCTTGGCCAGTTCCTGGGGACTGGGTGTTTCTGAAATGGCTGGTTTGCTTTTGCTAGAGATAGTGATGAATCTTGATCTCCATTTTAGGGTTTTCTACCCCCCCCTTCCCCTCCCGTGGGCTAGGAGAATGCAGGCAGCTGCTGGACTCCTTGCTACCCTCAGCTCGTGGAAGGAGGGGACGCCTTTGTCTGCTCTGGATTTACATTTGCCTGCACACAAGAGTTGCACTGGCTTTTACTCTACTGGGATGCAGCTAGATGGGCCTGGAAGCAGTGAGGAAGTGTAAATTGATCTCCCCTTTCCAAGAGGGCACGGGCTCTGCAGACCCCCCTTGCCTGAAGCCTGCATGCCGTCGTGGAATGCCTTGTCTTGGGAGAAGTCACTTTAAGTCCTGTTGTGTTTCATGCACGTGTCTCCGTGTTCCCAGCTGTTGCATGCAGGAACTTGCACCTCTTTCTGTGCTCCCCCCCTTCTTGGGGAGTTGATGTGTGCGTCTGGAATAGGAAAGAGGACATGGGGGTTGAGAAGGAAATGTTTCTTTTCTATGGCGAATAGTCTGGATGAAAGGATTTCAGGAGACAAAAGAATTGCAAAGAATTTGATTTGGGAGCAAACTTCAGGCTGAGGGCAGTGCTTGTGAACTGCAGATAAAATTCCATGTTCACATGATTGCATGAGGCTTATAAGGAAGTGGCCTTAGCCTGAAAAGAAGGAGCTTTGAGACTGGTGACTGCTTTGTAGGCCAGGTATGCTGGTGGTTGTGTTTCCTTCCTTCTCCAGATCAAATGCTTCTGTTGTTTCTAATGACAGGCCCGTGGTCAGCGTCCCCACGAGCCTTGAGCCCAGGCCTTGTCCAACACAGTGCTGAGATCTGAAATGAGCAGCCTCCCCGTGCCTACAAAAGAAGCACTCTCTTTCTACAAACATTCTCTTAATCATTACTTCCTATATAATTAACTACAAAATGTTTGTCTTCTCTTCAAGGCAAAGGTTATTATGAGCAGGCTGGTTTGGGTTGCATTATTTCAATTTATATTTTTTTTTTAGGAGAAGGAGGGAAAAAATGAGTGAATAAGAATCTGCTGCTGCTGAGGTTGCATCATTTGTTGAGAGATTTGCCTCTGCCTTGCTCCGGCATTGTGCAGCCCTCGTTTTTCTGGCTGGTGGGAGCTTTCCCTGGGGCTGTGTCCTGACTGGGGTCTGGTGTCACCTCGGAGGGGCTGGAGGCTGGATCCTGGCAGGGTCAGTGCTGTCCATCCCACAGAGGTGTTGGTGCATCCTCTGCCCTGGATGGGAACAGGCACTTTGAGGGGTCTCCTGCTCCCAGCCCTCTACCAGATGGACCTGCTGTCTGTGCACAGCTCTGCTCACAGTAACGCTGCTGCGAGCCTCGGGTTCCCAGACCGTTGATTTTTAAGAAAAAAAAAAAAAAAAAAGAAAAAAAAAAAAAGACCCTGGTGAAGGTAGACATCTTGGCACCTCAGCCTGCGCTCCTTCCCGGGCTGCCGGGAGAGCAGGGAGCTCGGGCTCATGATGTAACTCTGGTCCCTTGGGCTCGGTAAGCTGCAATATGTTGGAGTTTTGCTGTGCATGTGTTGTCTTTGCCTATAAAACCTGTTTGGACCTTTGCGAAGGGCACCCGGATGGCTGATGAAAATACCAAGGAGAGGAGGCTGTGAAAGCTCTTTCTGTGTTTCCCAGCTTTGTTCTTTTTCTCCTTTCTTTCCCCATTTTGTTTTTTTTGATGGGCTTATTTTTTGCTTTTAGGTTTGTTTTTTTTTTGTTTTATTTGTTTGATTGTTTTAAAGGCACCACTGTAGTTTGTAGTCATCATCTGTTTGGAAATGCTGCAGAGCCTTTCCTTGGCCGGTCTGACCTGTCTTCCATCCCCTCCAAAGACCTCATGGAGGAGAGGAAGCTTGTTTTCTTGTAAACAGAGGCAGAGAGGAAAAAACTAAACCAGCAGTAGCTCCTCTGCTTGGCTCCTCATGGCTCTTAAAACCCTTTCAAAGACCCAATCAGTCTTTCTTCAGATGCACTAATTTTTTCTACCATTTGAAACCTAAAAATTAAGGGTTGGGGCGGGGGGGCAAGAATGCTTCGTGGCTGGTTGTGTGTGCTCTTTATGGAGGTTCTCCAGCCACGGATGGTTAATAATCAGTCTGGGGTGGGCGAGGGAATGGAGGCAGACGGCTGCGGGAAAGGGGGAAAGGAGGAAAAAAAAGAAATGGAGCGAGTGAGACTTTTATTGTGAAGCAGCGTGTGCTTGGCAGTTGGCTTTGTTGGGACTGCTGCAAGAGCAGACATTTCTCGGCGGGGAGGGTGGGTATAGGATTTCCCTGCCAATCGGGAGCGGACGGATGGGGCATGGGGAGGGTGAGCAGAAAGGGAAGTTTGCTATGGATTTAAGGGAGGGGAGGGCAAAAAAACCCAACACACACGCACACACAAAAGCTGGAGGTATTGACACTTGCGGTGAAGTTGGTGCTAAGTTGGCTGGGTGGAGCTGGGTGGGAATGAATGGTGCTGGGTGCCCCATGGGTGCCCCTCGGTGCTGGGTGCTGATGGAGCAAGGATGGGAGAGTGCCGGCCTGGGGGGATGAGGCTTCGAGAGCTTTGCAGGGATTTCCTATAGCTTCCTTCTTCAAAATTCACAGTTGACTTTTGTTTTTATTTTTAATTATTCCTTTATTCTCTACCTCGATGCTGAGCTTTGTTGGGAAGTTGTAACCTTGTCGCCTTGCCTTGTCTCTGAGGAAGGAAGCATGAGAGCCTGGGAGATGCCACCTCAGCCAGCCTTGCCTTGGCACCCAGCTTTTGTACTCTCAAAGGACAAAAGTGATGGTTTCTTCTCTTGGAGTTGGGAATTCTGCTTTGAGAACTGGGCAGGCAGCAATGAGCTGCTGGTGACTGCAGCGAGCAGGGAGGGTGGTCAAGTTCTCATTGACTCCAGGGCTCCTGCACTGGCTTTTCTTCCTGGGTGAGCAGCAGCAACGCCTCTGTGGAAGGGAGAGCGTGAGCAATGTTTGGAGTGAGGGTACTGCTTAGAAAACACAGAAAAACTCATGCTCAGATGGTGAAGAATGGCCCCTGGAAATCCTGGGGCTTCTTGTATGAGTCAGTGGAGTAGCAGGAATATCAAGATCTCTCCTTGTTGCAACAAAGGTTGGGAAAACAACCTGGTCTCTGTTAGAATGACTGAGGCTCTTTATTTGCTGCTGGTGCCTGTGGCCAGGGCCTGGGTGCCCCTGGCTGTGGTGGGAGCCAAGGGTGCCCTCGAGCACCCTGAGCTCTCTTTGCAGGATAATCCATGAGAAAAACTGAGGTTATTCCTAGTTTACAAGAGGTCTGGCTAGAGGAGAGGTAGGGTTTGCAAGTTCATGTTTGCAGCAAGGATATGAATTACTGGCTCAGCAAATAAATAAATAAAACAGCTGCTCTATGTTCAGAGTTTGGGCTGTGTTTTTATGATCATTTCTCAATGGAAGCTGTTGGCCAGTGTCTGCTGAAGGTAGGTTCTGTGTCAGGCTGGGCTGAGCTGAGCTTTTGAATGCTCACAGCAGCTTTTTGGTCTGTGACTGGAGATCTGAAGGTGCTGTGCTTGGAGCACAAGTTGCTGGTGGTGAGAGCACAGTGATGTGGCTGGGTTTGTGTCTGATTGTGCTCGGGGCAGGTTGGGGACAGGCAGGGACACGCAGCCACCCACAGCCTCTGTCCTGTGCTGCAAGAGCCATCCTTGAAGTGCCCTTAGCTCTGGGCCTGGCAGGTGGTGGAGGCTTTCCTAGGAATCTGTCTCCCTTCTTCCCTTGGTGTGTCTCTGCCATGGTGGATTTGGGTGCAGGACAGGATGGTCCTGCAGGGATTTTGGGCTGGATGAGCCCTGCCTGGGGCTGGGGGCTGCTCTGCAGCACCTGCCAGCACAGGGCATTGCCCTGAGTTCACCAGGCTGGCAGGGTGGCTGGTGACAGCAGCAGCAGCACCAAAGCCCATCTCCCCTGCCAGCTCTGGACAATCCCACACAGGCATGGGCGAGCTGCTGGGAAGGGTTGGGAGCTGCCACACCGGCTCCATCCCCCTCACTTGCTCTAAGGAAGGTGGGCAGGTTGTTTTTCTTTCTTTATCACCCAGTGAGCTTTAAACCCTGTGATTTGCATGGCTGCAGGCACCATCTGCTCCCTGTGCTGGCCTACAACAGTTGGCTTGACCTGGGCTTATTCTTGTTCCGTGGCGCCAGCAGCGCACGCTGAACCCGCACCGACCTCCAGCTCTGCAGGGCACTCCCCATCCCTGCCTCCACCCCAGATCTCTCCTTAAACACAGCTGTGGCAAAGACCCTTTCTAGTTCATTTTTTAAAATACCATTTTCCTTCTGGTTTATTTTGGTCTAGGTTTGTTGTTGTTGTTGTTGTT